GTTCGCCTTCGCTCAACTCAGTCAAACAGAACATCAAAATATTTGAAGTGGTTTGACTTAGTTTCCGCAACTTGATCGTATTGTCAGAATGACTCAATTGGGCGTACCTTGTCTGAAGTCCTCTGTTATAGTAGTTATCACAATTTCCAGCGTCAGACCGTAGACTTGACACATTTTCAGACGTTTCTTGGCATCGTCAGTCAGTCTTGTCATTCTCATCACCAAGCCTCAACTCGTCGAAGAGACAAGTGACGTCAATCCCTTGATGAACTTTCTGCCGAAACGATTTTCCTATCATTGCTCTTTTTGTCCTGGTACCAACATTTTGGTCTTCATATCTACGTTTAAAAATCGGCATTGTTTCAAGGCATGAATATACACAAACTACAATACTATGCTGTCCTGAATAGCCTCTAATTCAAATTGCCCTCCTGATTTCAAGTAGAGCAGGACATAGTGTTAGGCCAATGATAATTTTGTGTTACTTTAAACTCTAATTAATGATTTACGTATTGCAAAAATAGGAGCTATCGTCAAGGTCGATCGGTGGTTAGCTGATATGTACTTCATATTTATAGCTTCTAGCATTTTCACACTTTTGCGTCAGTACTCAACATCATTTTAATTTAAAAATATTTCTTTAGGATGGACGCCACTAGTTTTCATGGATAGTTACAATGCTGCTCTACCTCCACATCCCACGAAAACTTTGGAGTTTTTTAAAGTAGGATCATGATTCTAGTTTAAAGCAGACTTTTTGCCAGAAGACTCACCTTCACCGAATGAATTTCTTTTTTCATTCCTAGTATGCACATACACAATATGCTTCCAGCATGGTTCGATGATTGCTGAGTCCTATTGCCATTGTGCAGTAATGATTAGGAAGTTACGGCGGTTTAAAAAAAAATTAATGATTTATGCTAATCTCGATTGTATGTTCTCCTTGATAAAATTATGCGTCTGCACGCATTCAATATGTTTAATGTTCTGTGTGAAAAACTATACTCCTTACCATCTTTATGTCATTCCAAAAACTCATTTAGTCTGTCTTGTGCCCATTTATTCCTTGTCAAAGTCAGCAATGGGTTATATTAATAAATTATTTATTTTAAGTTGAATTGTGTTATTTTACTTTTTAACCCATTAATAGCACGATGATAGAGGTCAATTCCGTTTTAATTGACCCTGCCATTAATTTCAAGTTTAAGACTCATATTTGCCTCTGATACTTAAAATTTCATTCATCCTACCTCTTCCATCTCCTTTAATGTAGCTACCCTTTCAACTTTGTTGCGGCGCGAGCTTGCTGGTGAAACTGGGGACGCCCAACGTGTGCTGTTTAGCAGACTCCTCAACCACCTAGCCACACAATCCCGCCCATCCTCGCTTTCCTCATCGTCTTCTACAGCGGAGACAGTCGAAAATTTAGATGAGTCTATAGCCGCCGGCGGCGATCCAAGTTTCGCGGCTAGTCCCAGCATTAATACGACTACCACCAGTTCTGATTCATATGCGCTGGCTAGTGAATACGATTGTCTTGTTAACACACCAGAGCCATCAATATCCGAAGCAACCGGGGTCACCGCTGAACGTGTATTGGGTCCTGGGGTTGCTTATGAAACAGATGATGAAGATAGGGATCTGACTAGGCTGTATAATGGCATTTCTGATGCAACAGATGAATCGGCTGAGCAAGACGAAAATGAAGAAAGCGAAAGTGATGACTATGAAGATGATATGGCGGCCAGGGATTTGGAGGATAATAGTGATATCGATGATTCCGGTAATCCTTCTGACCTCTCAGAACTGGACGAGGTTGCTGGTTATGCTCTTGGATTATCTCGTCGGCGCCGCCAGAGTCTAAACCACATGCGAATGACTGGTCGTCTCTCACGTCTTCGTCTTGACATCGCCGGTCTCAGGCGACGTCTACGCAGAGCACATCAAGTTCCTCAAAGCCCTTCGTCTCCTGTCCCACAAATTGAGGTGACGGGCAACTGGACAACTGCAGCCGCCTCGGTCCCTTCATTGCGCGTCTATAATTGGGGTCTATTTACTAGCCCCTCCACAACCACCTCTTCGGCTGCGGCCAATAGTCCTTGGTCTTATTTACATCAACTTCAGTTATCTTGGCAACAACAGCAGCAGCAGCAGTTGCTATTATTACAGCAACATACACAAATGCAGCAACCAATCAGCATACAGGGGCGTGCTCCTGCAGTTTACACTCATGAATATGACTCGGCTGGCACGCGTCTCTTCACCGCCGGGGGTCCAATCGCCTCGGCTTGTAACGGATCCGTTGCGGCTATTTGGGAGTAATACGGCTCGGATATCAGCTTTTTAGTATCTTTTATTTGGTTATCACTTTCCCTTCGTTTCTTTTATCTTTTCTTGATACTATTTTTATCCGATTTGTTGAATGCCTCTCAATTTTGCGTTCATACCTTAATCTCATATAAGTAAGCATAACGATCATAGATTCTATTTTCATAACTTTTCTGCTTTGTCCTCTCTCACATACATATCTATTTAATTTCATATCTCTATCTCATATTCACATTCTATTTCTCTGTATATCGGACCACTAATCTCTTTATACTCGATTTATGCTTAATGCTGCGAGTATGCTTTTATATTAGTTCCCCGTGCTTTTTCAAATTCGCATCTTGATTAATGTTTGCATAGGTCCTTTATTTCTCTATTTCTTCATGCTTGCGTCCATCCTTTTGTACATTTATCTGCCAAATAATCCAATTTTTCATATGTTATTTATTCATGATCCATCTGCTCTTCACGTTTGGCAATAATGCCGTTTTTAGATTAATCGAGCACTCATTTCACTAGTACTAGTATCTTTGGTTTTTAAGACTCGATTTCACTTTCTCATGCTGTTTACCAGTCTGGTCGAGTAACTGTACCTATTTTATCTAGTATCTTTTAACTCATTCTGAAGAAGTAGAGACTTAGACAGACGAAAACACTTTGGCAGTGACTCGAGTTCTCAATATTCTAATGTTATACATGATATCTTTTTTCATTTGTATTCAAACGTTAAGCTAGCCACATGTTACATTGTATTTTCCTGGCTTCCGAATTGTCAACATTTTCGCCTTATCCGTCCCAACCTTTGCTGTTTTCCACATCGACCTAAATTACCATCTAGTCTTTCCCATGGCCTGTACTGCCTACGATATTTACTCAAATTGCACCGTATTTTAGTGAAATACCTGGTCCATTCATTTCCTTTTGCATCCCTTGGACTCTAGGTTCCTTTCTGCTCCTGAACGATACATGTATGAATAGAATTACTGGCACGCATTATAGCCAAGATTGGATTCGTATTTTTCCATCTACCTTTTTTCTATGGCTCTGACTCACTTTAGACCGTATTGCAGACTCCTCGACCTGCACATGACTTCTCTACAGACTTGCACATCATTGATTCACTTTTGACTTGTGCCCATTTCCCTTTGTGCACAATGTAATGTACAGCTCACCTCTTCGCTTGCGCTTTTCTCTTTTAGTCCTCAAACATTGACTTAGTTCATTGTACATTTGATTTTGACTTTTTCCTTATATTTCACTCTTAAGAACGCGCGCAATATCCCACAAGTACATTTCTTGACATACTTGCCTCGTCTTCCCTTAGATTGGGCTGCTGCCTGCGCGTACTTTTAGCTGTTCTGTGGGTTTATTTAAGTACATACCAAGAGCGCATGCATCTACCTCATAGTATCTGGTTTCAACTTATTCAAAGGCACGGCCACAGCGCATATTTGAATTTTCCTCTACACTTCCTTACCGGCGTATTGGACCTCGTTGAACGTTTTTTTTGCATTTTTTCAAATTTTATCTTAGCCACCCTCCCAACTACCACTACCAATACTACTGTCACCTTCAGGATATTTTTGTCTACCGTTACTCGGATTGTTTACTGCATGTTGCTTATCTCGACATAGGTTCCCTTTTCATTTCTTATTTCTTATTTTACCTGTTGAACTTTTTGTCTTGATCAATTTGTTGACCTGCATAAATTAATTATAACATCGTAAGCAAGATTCATTTTTCGACTTTTTTGTTTTTCTGTTAATGTAGATAAACATTGCTCGTATGGTTGAACTTTTGTCCCTTTTGTGCCTTGGCTGGTTTTCTATTTTATTTAAATTGGGAAATTATTTTCGTGTCTGAACACCTCCTTAGATCAGATTAGTCTGAATTCCATGGGCTAATCTACTCACCGTTTTGTGGATATCTACTTTCTAGTCTTGATCCACATAGCAGACATAGAGATCAGTTTTTCCATTGCAATATAGTTAGTTATTTTTGTGGGGCACTTATTGAGTGCTCTTGAAAATAACTTCTTCAGTTTGACAGATGACCTCCCTAGCACTTCTCATCAATTTTTCCATTACATACTGGCAACCAAGATTTCCACATCTTTTAAATGCACTTTCCGACTAATATGCCCCTGGCTCTATATAAATCATGAACACTATTATAGCCTATTCGGATTTGGGTAGCATGGCTAGTATATTCTATTTCACTTAAGCCTTATTTAACATTTGCACATTTTTCTTTGTTTCGTTTCTTAGCTTTACTTTCTTCACCTTTCTTGTTAAAATCCAGCTCTTTGCTATTTGACTTTACTATTTAAACCAAAGTTTCCATATTCTAGTGCCAAATAGGAATGGAATATAAATGAAACTTAATGCAACAAGCTGTTTTGGATCGGCTTATCTCGTTCATTTATGCTATAGGTATTTGTTTGTGTAAACGTGATTTTCGAGCGCCAGTGATACTTGAGTAAGCACTTACTTCCCCTTGATCGCTTGGGACGATTTAAAGCATGATGGTGGAGATTTTCCTACAATGACATCATTAGGCCTCTCATTGTCATTGCATTTTATATAGCCTTGCCTTCCAGATTTTCTCATCTAGAATAGA